TGAAACTAGAGGAAGACATTCTACGGGGCACTTTGAAATTTTTCTAAAGTACTAGTACTTTGAAATTTTTTTAAAGTACTAGTACTTTGAAATTATGTAAATTAGCGAGTTTTAGAAGTAAGTTCAAATACTCGACATCGGACTTTACCGCGATTTCAAAGTCCTCGTGCATTAATGAGGCTCGCCTACGGCTCGCCTTTTCAAAAGCACTCGGACTTTGAAATCCCGGTAAAGTCCTCTGTCTCGTATTTGAACTATTACTTTCAGCATTTTACCAAGGTTGAAAAAATCACTATCCGGTGGATAGCACTATCCGACCTTCAAACAACCGGCCCCAGGGGGATAGTGTTGCCACTCAATTGGTTAATGAGTTAAATTTTAATTATTAAGAATTAGGTTAGCTTTGTAGGACCTATTTGTAAAGTGCTTAGGAGTAGCAATCCAGAGTAAAAGTTATTATTGTTATTGTTATGAAGGTGCTGGTAGATATGTCGTTTTGGTGTTTGACGAAATGAAAATCAAGGGAAAGCTTGTTTTTGACAAACACTCAGGCAAATTGATTGGTTTTACCTCGCTTGGTGACCCTGATTTGGATTATTCAACGTTCGAAGAGCTTGAAGTTGCTACCCATGTTCTTGCATTCATGATTAGAGGTGTCCAAACCACTCTAAAATTTATGTTGGCATATTTTCTCACACAAACAGTGGTCTCGTATCAATTGGCCCCACTTTTTTGGCGAGCAGTTGGAATATTAGAACTGATCGAATTGTGATCTCCATGTTGTTGCAACTTCAAGTGATGGAATGTCAGCTAACCGGAAGTTTTATCGACTGCACAAGCATATTATGGGTGAGGAATCAAAGATTTTGAACAAGACAATCAATCTATTTGCACCACAAAGGAATATTTGGTTCTTTGCAGATGTTAACCACATTTGATGAAAACAACAAGAGGTAATATATTAAGGATGCTTTTATTTAAAGCCGGGTTACAGTCCGTAATGTAAACAAACGCTTTGTTTACATTTTGAACTGCTATATTTCTTAAAATATTATGAACTGTCAGAAAATTTAACACTATTTTGGTTCGCTATACTTTTAAATAAGTATGAGATAGTGTTTATGTTCAGAAATATACAAAACATGCGAAATTTGCACAATTTTGAAATCCAGTAGTCTACCTTTGTTATGAGCAGAACCGATGCGCAGAACGGACTGTAACCCGGCTTTAAGCCCGGTTTACACTATCAAAGTTTCTGTGATCACATTAGGAATTTTACATTGGTAAATTCTAATTTTTGAAGGATTTGTAAGAAATGTTTGAGGCAACTGAATAAGTGTTAAACACTAAATCGTTTTCCTCAAACATGTCTGACGAATCCTTCAAAAGTTAGAATTTACCAATGCAACATTCCTACTGTGATCACAGAAACTTTGACAGTGTATGTAAACTGGGCGTTAGGCTAACTTTACTTTTCAAGGGGATAGGCTTGCGCATTAACTCATTGAGCCTCAATGCTCCCTACTTATTTTTTTTACTTGTCTAACGCCAGACGATTTTACTCGTCAATGGGGAAGCTCTGCAGCTTTATGGGTTAAAGAGCCTGCCAAGTTGCGCATGTACAATGAGAGGTCAAATACCCAAACTTTGTTACGTTTTCAGTAACCACTGCACCCTGATTGCCAGACATTGTTTTAGTGTACTGTCATTCAGTGGGTGAACAAAATTTTTTGTCTCCCTTTTTACTATACTGTGTATCATAAGATTATGAGAACTACATACATGTAGGTGCCCTGTAGTTTATTATATATGTTTTATTTTAGGTAATCTGCACAGTTCTGGCACAGGTGGAACAAGGTACCTTTGGAGAAATGGAAAGAATTTGCTGTGGGAGCACATTTCTAGATGCTATTTTGCAGATCTAGACTTGGGCCTCCACCAACTGCCAAAGTTGACCATCGAGCATATTCATTTAACATCGTATGCTAAAATGAGGGTTAATTTGGCAGTGCAAATTCTTTCCAAATCTATGGCAGAAGCCCTCCGAAGAAGCATGCCCCTGGAAGAAGTCTCAGAAACCGCAACTTTCTGTCAGCTGATGAACGACTTCTTTGATTGTTGCAATGTTCGATCGGGTCATGAGCATCAGAGAAAGCAGAACCCACTCCTGGCACCTTATGAGAAATGTGATGATCCACGCTTTGTGTGGTTGACTGACACTTTTCTTCAGTACTTTGTTGACTGGAAAGAAGCGATCAGCAAGAGAGAAGGTTTCACCCCAGACGGGATGACACGAATGTTTATCTCAATTCAGACATATGAAGGTCTACAAATGTCAGTGAACAGTCTGATTGAATGCACCAAGTTTTTGTTAGGGAATGGAGTATCATATGTCCTCACTGAGCGCTTCATGCAAGACTGCCTTGAGGAATACTTTGGCCACCAAAGACAACGCGGGCGAAGATCTGACAACCCGGATGCAGTCCAGTTTGGATACAATGACCGTATTTTGCAGATCCAAAGAAATGCCGGCCTTGTGTCACGAGGGAATGTTGGATCACGACGAAAAGCGGGTGAGTCACGATGGGCTACTATTAGGGAAGAGCCTTTACCCAAGAAGAAGAAGGAAAAGAAGCAGAATTAAACAGATTTTAGTAACATTTTCTGGCATTTGCCAGAGAGAAAGTATAAGATGCAATAAATTGCATTGCATGAGGGCACACTGAATTTATGGTTGATCCAGTACAATTGTATATATGTGAATCTGATCATATTTAAGGATTACAAAACATTTTCCATGTTGATATAAAATTATATACACACAAGTGAAAGTTGGGAAATCTAGAGTTGAGAAAGTGTGGAAACATGAGTGATATATATAACCCATTGAGTCGCATTGCGCCCTACTTTAGTATTTTACTCTATGTACAGTATCTAATTAACCCATGATGAGGGCAAAGCCCGAATCAACTATCACCTCATCAGGGCTTCCACAATGCCAAGAAATTTCCTGGCAAAAGACCATTACTTTGGGAGGGAGGGGTCAATACTGGTAGTATATATTATACAATCTTTTCAAAAGTTCTTTGTTTCTCTCTTTGTCCAATCCTATACCCCTATAAAGACAGCCCTATGCAAATAAGTTGTGGAAGCCCTGCACCTCATAGAAATCGAGATTGAGTAATCTAATTGTTTTAGTCGAATCAGAGATTAAAGAATGAGTATCAACCGTCATTCTTTGCGCCGCTATGTTTACAGTTTCATGAATTTATGGGCACCCAAAAATGGCGATATTATAGAAGCCAACTGTAAACATAGCGGTGCAAAGCATGACGGTTGATACTCATTCTTTAAACATAAAATATTCCAGAAAATAATTTAATAAGGAAAATGATTGTTTTCCTAGCCAATCAAATTACGGCATTTGCAATAGTAATACTAGTATGATTCTAGTATAAGACTCGCTAATTTTAGTATATATATATATATATATATATATAAACAGTTCAGTTTTAACCCATTAAGCAGCACTCTCCCCTTGATAAGAAAAGCATATATATATATATACTGCACATTTTCGTGAAAGAGGAAAAACACTTATGTTACTTTATATTATGTTACTTTATACATGTAAAAGGTTCAGAATATTTGATACAAAATAGAATGTTGGTCTCATCAAGTTAAAGACTTTTAGCTTTAGCCTCAGACTGTTCCTTAAGTGCTTTCCTTAAAGCCTTCTTGTGCAAATTTATCTTCTCCTTTAATTTGATTTGGGTGACAACATCCTTTGTGTAAGAAAAGGATCTCACGCGGATATACAGCATAATAATGTTCTCCAAACATACATCAGGAACAGATGTTTTGCTTTTAGCCAAGCTTGCATCAGAAAGAATAGCATCCCAAGCTGATTTCACTTTAGGCTTTTGCAAAACATCTGCTCTGACTTGTTCCAAAGGAATTTCCCTCACCAAACCAGCACTGTATTGCCGAAATACCTTTTCACATTCAGCAGCAATACATATTAGATTCTCGCAAGGATTCCATAGTTTTCCTCTAGAAAGAGAGTCGATATATACTCGTTGTCATCCAGTGACTTCATGCTCGATAACAATGACTGAAGTTCCAATTGTTCTGGAGTTTCTTTCCCTGCAGTGGTTTTACTTTTTCGATACATTTTGGCAATTATATAACCAGCAACGTACGATAATGGCCCAAATTCGGACTGTTCAATTGGCTTTATGACAGGAAGCTTTTCTTGAACATTTCCACGTTTGTAAAAGCCAACGACTAAATCAGGAATGTGGATCATAATGAGATTGTATGCAGGAACGTTCATTTCTTTTGATTTTGTTTCGAACATCTTCGCAGACTCTGGTATTAGCTTGTAAAAGTTTTTCAAGAGTTTGTCCCTGTCTAATTTTTCACAATATCCGCCATACAATGTCAACAAAGAACTCACGAGAAGATCAGATGGCTTTAGGTCGGCTTCGCTAATCAATTTTGTCATTTTCTCGCCATACAACTTCGACTTTATTACGGACTGCGCTGCTTTGCAAACAATTTCACAAACAACATCCGATGTTATTGGCGATACTGACTTGATAATCGGTGTTTTCTCACCATGTTTGGCCCTTGTATGATTAGTAAGACCACCTTTTGATTTGCAGATCTTCGAACAGAGGCCGCATGGAAAGCTTTTAGTAAGAAGACATTCATTAACTCCTTGGGTAACGCACTCTTCTAACTCCACAATCTCGTTGATTTCTTCCGACAAATAGTTTACAACGGCTTCCATGGCCTCCTGCTCATCGATTAAAGACTTCGAACTTTCGCCTTCGCAGTCCATCCTTAAAAATGCAACCGATTTAACCCGAAAAAAACAAACAAACACAACAATCGTAATATGATACCATATAAAATTATACAAATTGTCAACACCTCGCGCGTGTTTGTGTCGCTTTAAAACCACGTGACTATTTTTTTTTTATTTCAACATATTCTCGCCCCAGGCCCCAGTCTCCTATCCTTCTTATTCCACTATCTATGCCGGCAGGAACCTTGTCCTCACCGCCAGGAACCTTGTCTTCACCGGCAGAAACCTTGTCCTCACCAGCAGGAACCTTGTACTCACCACCAGGAACCTTCTTGTCACCGCCAGAAACCTTGTCCTCACCACCAGGAACCTTGTCCTCACCGGCAGGAACCCTTGTCCTCACCGCTAGGAACCTTGTCCTCACCGGCAATGACCTTGTCCTCACCAGCAGGAACCTTGTCCTCACCGCCAGGAACCTTGTCCTCACCGGCAAGAACCTTGTCCTCACCGCCAGGAACCTTGTCCTCACCGCCAGGAACCTTGTCCTCACCGGCAATAACCTTGTCGTCACCGCCAGGAACCTTGTCCTCACCACCAGGAACCTTGTCCTCACCGCCAGGAACCTTGTCCTCACTGCCAGCAACCTTGCCCTCACCGCCAGCAACCTTGCCCTCACCGCCAGGAACCTTGTCCTCACCGCCAAGAACCTTGTCCTCACCGCCAGGAACCTTGTCTTCACCGGCAGGAACCTTGTCCTCACCACCAGGAACCTTCTCCTCACCGCCAGAAACCTTGTCCTGACCTCCAGGAACCTTGTCCTCACCGGCAGGAACCTTGTCCTCACCGGCAGGAACCTTGTCCTCACCGCCAGGAATCTTGCCCTCACCGGGAAGAACCTTGGCCTCAGCGGCAAGAACCTTGTCCTCATCGGCAGGAACCTTGTCCTCACCGGCAAGAACCTTGTCCTCACCGGCAGGAAGTAAGTATATAGTTTCATTTGCTTGCTGCAATAATTGTCAACATTTTGTAATTAAATTGCATGATCAGCTTGTTAACGCTTACTAATGCAAAGAATCCCCCCCCCCCAAAAAAAAAAATAAGCAGTATAATGTCACTCAGTTACAATTTGAAGAATGACTTGTGGCCCTTTTGGAAGCATGCCTTATCAGAAATTACAGTAGCTTCTTTTGGAGTTGATATCTAAACTATTGCTATATTTTAGAACGTTGAACATTGGCGTCAAATTCATGGTGTGCAAAATACCATACATGCATGCATGCATGCAGCACATACTTTCTTTAGAAAGTCGTTATGAATAATAAATATTTATCGTAGTTGCCACATTTAAGAAAATTAGACTAAACACAAATATTTTATTCCTTTTATAGCTTCGAAGCCGCAGCAGTAACAGGACAAAAATAAAAACATTCTTAATAAGTGAATGAAGGAATTTTAGAGCAAAGGCAAAAATCTATACTAGAAACAACATATGTATTTAAATAACATTATAGCTACTGTACTATAGCTGTAAAACAAAATATGATATGATATAATAGAGAGATAGTCTATAGACACATTTACTATGGCTATCATATATCTACAACTAATTTACAATGCTCTCCCTCCCCCCTCCACCGTGAGGCTGCGCAGGCAAAATTGTGATAACTGGCATGCCTATTGCTACTATTACTCTATACATAAAAAGGCATACGGGTTGTCCACATCAGGTTGTGAATTACATTATAGCGACGGATTGTTAGTATTTCCTTGATACTGTACCTTTCCATTGAAGACTGTGAAACAGATTATAAAATAATTTCAATGCATGCTTTTTACTAACAACCTAAACACCAATTCGGGTTTATGTGCGTTTACAGTTACAGTATAATATATTCATCAGCGAGCACTATTATTGTTATTATTAAATTGTTAATCATAGGTATTTAGTCGTAAAGTTAGATTATAGTTGATTTATTGATTATATTATTAAATTTATTGTGAATTATAAAAACTTTAAAATCACAACTTTATCACTGTGTTAAATTGTCAATTTTTTTAAATTAATCAATTAGCATACCTTCAAATATCATTCCTCTGGATTTTCATAATGCAGAATGGTACAGTAATGAACTTCTATAATCCACTGGTTTTAATATGCTTCCCATTCTCCCCTTTGATGACAATGTTTTGAACGCCTTTAATATGGATACATGACCTTGGTTCGGTTTATGGACAGGCAAGGTACAAAGACGAGTAAAAGTGAATTAGTTGACGGATAAATTATAGGGTACAGATGCATGGATAGCAGATGTAGTCACTTCACAGTTTATTAAAAGCATGACAGACAGAATTAGAAAAATGACCAACAACATTAAAGCACTTGAAATATTTAAAAGACGTACACTCGGTTTTTAGGGAAGGATTTCACTTGCCAAGAGAAAAACAACACACGGTTATAGAGTTTAGCAAATTTTAAATACACCAAAAGGCATCGTCAATACCAATTTCTTCGCTACTACAACACAAGGCTATGTGCTGATCGATATCTCCTTTGGAAAACCTGTAAAAATACAAAATATGTGTAAAATGTACGTGTAAAAAACATTACAGTATATTAATAGCTATTTCTGAAACCTATTTTAATAACAGAAAAAGTAACCGTTTGTCAATTTTGCTTTGGATATGAATAAATTAGGGGTTTGAAAATTGCGTTATATACAGTACCAACCTAGAATGGAAGCTTTTTGCACAGAATGGACATTCCTTGATCCTTTCATCCGCATCGTCTTTACAGAATTTATCCAAATCACGTGAAATGCCAACATTATTAGGTATATTTGAACTCCCTGATCTTCTGACCTTAGACTGTGCATCAGGAATATTCAACTTTCTTTTCACTCCTTTGGACATCATCTCATTTCTTGAAGAACCAGAAAGTCTTGAGTTAGGCCCATTTTCCCTGACTTGAATCGTCGGTGACATTGCGTCATCACAACATGCCACCAAAGTGTCGTCATCCATGTCGTTGTCAAGGTTACCAAGTAAGTCCTTCACACCACCATCATTATTAATTACATCATTTTCCATCCATTTAAAATCATCGCTATCCCCTTGAGTACCAAGATGACAATTCATTTGATCGAAATCATCTGTAAAACTTTTTACTAGGAGTTCATCAAGATCATCATCTGATCCAAATAAATCCTCATTTGATCCTAAACCACCATCCATATCCCTTAGTGCTCTGCCAGATTGGCCTTTGCTAGTTTTAGCTGTAATGTTCATTTTTGAAATATCTTTCGATTTATACGCAGAAGTTTCCTTGCTTGGCTGCAAATCTGTTTGTTTATCACGCGTGGTATAGAAATTGTTTAGATATGGATTGCCCTTGTTTGCTTGAGAAGACCTCTCCATTCCCTGTCCATGTTGATCCCTATGAGTAGCTTTTTCCAAAATGTCTATTTTTGAAATATATTTGCTTTCAAAACAAGGCGTTTCCTTTAGCTTGCCTGTTTGTACTTGTGCCTGTTTATCATTGGTAATCTGTGAACTGTTAATATATATTGGATTGCTTTTGCTTGCGTTAGCAGAATTCCTCATAGTATTTTTGGCATGTAATTGTTGATCCTTCCTTGTAGTATTGCCAAACCAGTCGAATTTTGAAATGTCTTTACTTGCAAAGACAGGCCTTCCTATTGACTTATTTGTTTCAACATGTGCTTCTCTATCATTGTTGCCATAGAAACTGTTTACTTTTTGATTGTTGTTGCTTTTATATACAGTTTTCCCCAAAGACTTCCTTGTATCTTCATGTTGACTGATACTCTTAGTTTTAGACAAGCTGTTGAATTTTGAAATGTCCTTATTTCCATGTGGAGGCTTGCTCGTTTGCGTTTGCGTATAACTTGTTCTATAAAAACTAGTTACTTTTGATATGTCCTGTCTTACGTTAACAGAGTTCCCGGTAGACTTACTTGCCTGAACATCCTTATAGTCCATTGATCTGCTTTTCACAGTTTGCTTTTCCTTCCTGGGTGGAGTATTTGGTACCACTACCTTGCTTTCATCATAAGCAGTGCTCTCAAAATTAGTACAAGGTTTTCGATCGGCACCGATTGGTTTTGTACGCGCAAATTTATATTGTTTCACCCCCTCTCTTTCCTCGTTCTTGAACTGGCTGTTAGATTTCATTGTCTGATTATACCCACTGCTTCTTTCATCTTTCATGCTTGCAGATTTTACATTCAGCAAACCATTATTTTCGTAAGAGCCTTTCACATTAACGCTTGCTCCAATTGATTTACCCTTGCCTAATTCGTTATCTTTTGTCAAAGTTGAAATATTTGTTTGGTTACTTAAATTTGGTCCATTAACATCAAAATCATCAAAGCCAAACTTGGGATTGTCTTGAATGTCATCAGTTAAATCAATATTAACTACAGATGACTTGTCTTGACTTTGTCTTGCAAGACCTTTGTCGGTTGACCCATTTCCTAGTTCCTGTAATGAACTTTCATATTCCTGAATCATCTCATCGTCCTGCACGCGATTACGATTCACATCAAACGTGGACATAACTTGTTTCAATTCTCTATTGTTACGGACTGTGTTATATTTCAAATCGTCTGGTTTATATCTATCATGACCATCACCAAACTCATGTTCAACTATTCTAGTCAACTTCATTCCAATTTCTGATGGTGTCAACCTATCTGTTTTCACATAGCTTTCTACGGTGGCCGACAAGGGCAGCACAAATATTTAGATGAAACACAAAAATATAGATAGAACACATTTATTAAGCAAACAATTAAGCGAACACGTTTATTAAGCGAACACGTTTATTAAGCGAACACGTTTATTAAGCGAACACATTTATTAAGCGAACACGTTTATTAAGCGAACACATTTATTAAGCGAACACGTTTATTAAGCGAACACATTTATTAAGCGAACACATTTATTAAGCGAACACATTTATTAAGCGAACACGTTTATTAAGCGAACACATTTATTAAGCGAACACAAATATTTTTTAACAACCCGACTACCGGAAATGGAAGGCCTAAATCCCGATTTTAGGGAGTATCTATCAACTGATCGTCTTGGTCTCCTGTGTCTTGGTCGAGCATGCTTTCAATATTAAATATGGATGGAGAAAATTCATGGTCGAGTAAATTTTGTCATTGTTGTGGAAATGCTCTTGAAAAAGGTTACAATTACTGTCCAAATTGCGGGCAAGAGGTTTTAAAGTGGTTAATTAACGAATTACTCTGGCACCCAACCCCCCGGTTCTGAAGCACTTAAACAAGTTATCGTTCCATGTTTCGCGCACCAATATAGTAAACGTCATGTAATGGATACTATAGTGTACTGCAAAGTCAACTGGGTCATAGCTATACAACACTATACGACACTATACAAGACTATACGACACTATACCACGCTATACGATACTACTATACAACACTATACGACACTATACAATACTATACAACACTATACCACGCTATACGACACTATAAAACAGTATACGACACTATGCAAGACTATACGACACTATAAAAAACTATACGACACTATACATGACTATACATGGCTATATACCACACTATACAACACTATACGATACTATACAACACTATACCACACAAAACAAGACTATACAAGACTAAATATAGATAAACGCAAGACAAATGTTAAAACAGAATTAATGATAGACGGGGGGGGGGGGTATGAAATTTTTCACTTACATTGAAGGGGGTTACGAAAATTTTTCCACAGGTTTTTGGGAGGGTATGGAAATATGTACTTGAAATTTCATTTATCCTCCAGTCCTCCACCCCCCTCTAGTAATAGGGAGCTTTAGATTTGACTACGAGTACGACTACGAGTACGAGTTTCGTCAAGCGAAACACATGCTGTATGCTTACGCCATCCCGTACTGACGCGAAAAAGTCGTACTCGTCGCCCATCTGAGTACGAAATTGTGGAGAAATCTCGTAGTCCTCACTACGACTTTTCAAAAAAACAAAGAAAGTTGGCTTTTTTTTGTTTTCCAAAAATAATTTGTAGCATTTATATAGCGTTTATCCGGCGCAAATAATATATTAGTACCAAATATCTGGCTTGTTTTTAATGTTATGACTTATTTACACGTTTTCTAGGGGATTTTGGTCTGCGAGAGATTTAGTTTATGAAACTTTTTCTCTCATTGTTGGTTTACTGCTATAAAAGCAACATTTGAATGGAAACGGAAACGACTACAGTAATTTCCTAGCACGCGATCAAATCTCGTACTCGTAGTCGTACTCGTAGTCAAATCTAAAGTTCCCTAATTACTTTATGACCGGTCCCTAAGGCAGTATATCTATTGAATTTGTAGTCATGTTTGAAGCCGTTTAATAAACTCGCAGGTCGTGTTTTATTAGGTCTAAAGCCACTCGATAAACCTAATAAAACACTCCTGCTCGTTTATTATTAAACAGTACAGCGTGTCGTATAGCGTGGTATAGTGTTGTATAGTATTGTATAGTGTAGTATAGTGTTGTATAGTAGTGTCGTATAGCGTGGTATAGTGTCATTCCTAATCTATGATAGTGTCGTATAGTCTTGTATAGTGTTGTATAGCTATGACCCAGTTGACTTTGCAGTACACTATAGTATCCATTACATGACGTTTACTATATTGGTGCGCGAAACATGGAACGATAACTTGTTTAAGTGCTTCAGAACCGGCGGGTTGGGTGCCAGAGTAATTCGTTAATTAACCACTTTAAAACCTCTTGCCCGCAATTTGGACAGTAATTGTAACCTTTTTCAAGAGCATTTCCACAACAATGACAAAATTTACTCGACCATGAACTTTCTCCATCCATATTTAATATTGAAAGCATGCTCGACCAAGACACAGGAGACCAAGACGATCAGTTGACAGATACTCCCTAAAATCGGGATTTAGGCCTTCCATTTCCGGTAGTCGGGTTGTTATTATTATTACGATTTGCCCGATAACATATCCATTTCTACTGGGGTCGGTTTGTATGCTGATGATACCAAACTGCACAGATGTGTGCAAAATCGTAACGATGCACTGGCATTGCAATCGGATATTCAAAGCCTCCATTGTTGGTCAAATGAGAACATGTTAAGCTTTAACAAATCGAAGTGTAAAGTGTTGTCTATCACAAGAAGGAAGTCTCCCTTAATTTACCCATATGCACTTGGCGATCACCAACTATTGTCTTCTGATGTAGAGTCCGATCTGGGCATTACGATCAGTTCGAAACTATTATGGAATGTTCAGATCAACAAAGTTCGGTCAAAAGCCAACAAAACGCTCGGGTTAATCCGACGTTTTACCATGGAGATAACGGATACCAACGCGAGAAGGCTTCTGTACCTTCAACTTGTGCGAAGTAACTTCTCCTATGCAACCCAAGCCTGGTGTCCTCAGTCAGTGAAACTTATTGAGGACGTTGAGAAAGTGCAGAGACGAGCAACTAAATACATATTGAATCTTGGGTTTATCACAGACATTTCTTACAAGACAAGACTCCTTCAGCTTGACATATTACCTGTCTCATATTGGCACGAATACTTGGATCTGGTGTTCCTCTACAAGATCATCAACAGTCTTACGTACATTGACGAACGTGTTCTACCGATCATGGCTGGATCAGGAATTACAAGAAGTGAATCCAACGCAAACCTAATTAGATTTGTTATTCCTTATGCGAAAACCGTAACATTCCAGACCTCATTTTTTATAAGAACTTGCAAAACGTGGAACATATTAGATAGTAACTTGCGTACTAGAGATATAGGTTTGCTGTCTTTTAAATCAGGTCTTAAACTCTACTACAAACATGCACTATCCAAAACATTCAAATGTGACGATCCGCGCACCTGGAAATCAGTGTGTGTAAAGTGCAAAAGAGCAAGATCGCTTAACAATGAAATAAGCTGTTGTTAGCCTTATTAGTTTTAGCTTGTTGAGTTGCTTGAAAATTTGTTTTGTACAGTAATTTTATTCTTGTTTATATGGGATCGCCGTAATTGGGGAAACCTGTGGCGAATTCCCTGGCTCTATATGTTGTATTTAAATAGCAGCCGAATCTTATTAAATTAAATTAAATTAAAAAATATTTGTGTTCGCTTAATAAACGTGTTCGCTTAATAAATGTGTTCGCTTAATAAATGTGTTCGCTTAATAAATGTGTTCGCTTAATAAACGTGTTCGCTTAATAAACGTGTTCGCTTAATAAATGTGTTCGCTTAATAAATGTGTTCGCTTAATAAACGTGTTCGCTTAATAAACGTGTTCGCTTAATAAACGTGTTCGCTTAATAAATGTGTTCGCTTAATAAACGTGTTCGCTTAATAAACGTGTTCGCTTAATAAACGTGTTCGCTTAATTGTTCGCTTAATAAATGTGTTCTATCTATACTTTTGTGTTTCATCTAAATATTTGTGTTGCCCTTGTCGGCCACCGTAGCTTTCGTCATTTTCATAGCATGTTATCAGCTGTGTTTTTATTTTATGAGACACATAATGGATTCCAGATTTTGGTAAGTCAGTGTAATTCTTGTTTTCAACTTCTTTAGTGGTGTTACCATTTGAGTCATTATGGATTTCAGAAGTTTTATCATTAACCTCACTTTTTGATTCAGTTAGTGATCTCATCTGAAAAGATATTATTTTTACTAAGATTTTGTTGGCATTGCACTCGATTGAATAAAGTTGAAGGGTATTGTGGATGGAAATTATCGAGTGGAAATTTATATACATTTATAAGTCGTCAGACTTAACCAGGAACAGCTGCAAAAATGCAACTTTAGGTCCCTGCAATTCTGGTGCAGCACTCTACAGTGACCAGTAGCATGTTGAGCCCTAACCACAAGTTCATGTATATACAGGGTCTGAAATTTATATTTTTTCTATCCAACTGGGATATCAGGATTCAAAGTTTAGTATCCCCCATGAGAATCCAGTATCCCACTTCTGGATACTGGTTATCATAAGTATTATACCCCGTCCCATCCAAATAAGTTTCCATAACTCTCACTGTTACAAATATTTACAATAACAACAGGAGATTCAACAGCCAATAACTAAACAATTCATTAATACAGTACACTAAAATCTACATAATCCTTCAACAAACTTTTATATGCTAGTCCTCAATGAGGAAAGACGGGTGGCAAACTGATAGTATTCAAAAGCTATCAAGAGCCCACCAAAGGTGTTTAACATTTTCTTAATGTTTCAAATTTCCTTAGTATCCAGTATGGATACAAGTCATTCACAGTTTGGTATCCAACACCAACGACCTGCGAGTTTATTAAACGGCTTCAAACAAGACTACAAATTCAATAGATATACTGCCTTATTAGTATTCTTTATATAAAGAATACTAATGAGGACACAACTACAATAGATACTGCCTTATTAGTATTCTTTATATAAAGAATACTAATTAGGAGTGCTTTATCAGGTTTAAAGCCACTGCACGTGGCATATTATGGTTGACATGATTTGCCAATAAGCTTATGAATTATTAGCAGTCACTTTATTTAATCCAAGTATCGAACTAAACAATATTAATATTATTGGACTTATTAGTATTTGAACTAGTGCTGTGGTACTGTACATCCAAAACTTAAAGTAAGTTAGTCTAAGACTGATAATTTGAATACCTCAAACATTTAAAAGGTAAGATTTTATTTAATTTTTGCCCCACTCCCGCCTTCACCCTTGTTGCCCAAGGCCAACAGGGGTGCACACCCCTAAACACCCCCCGTAAATCTGACACTCCCACCTGCATGCCCCACCACAAACAAGGTTACTTAGTTCCTCCCCATTACCGAATGTGCAATTTTCTGCAACTCAAAACTTGCACCACCATCAGTGAATGAATGTAAATTCAGGTACAGTGGGGGGGGACTGCAACGGCACTCACAATAATTTCGGAATAAACTGTCAATGACAATAATTTTATAACCATGAAAGCTATAAACATTGCAAGGTTTTAACACTACTGTATATCCTATTTTGTACACAAAAAGTTTGTAGCTGCTGTTTAACCCATTAAGTTGAATTGTGCCCGATTTGGAATGCGCCTAACTTTAATCTTCTACACTGTCTAATAAGTAAGTACTACTAGGTAAGTAAGTATACTACGTAAAGTCTTTATTAGGGTAACACATACAAATTAATAGTTATACACGCTAACAATTTAAACTTGTACGGGCCTCTAAAATTTAGTTAATATATTACAAATAGTTAGATCTATAAATGTGTCCAGAAATTTTAAAATAACAACATTTATTATGAATAAAAAATTATACAAGTAATGGGACTGAACTACAGAATATACAAGAAAATGATGCTAAAAACTGCTGTTGATTAAAAAGCAAGGTCCGATAATTGTTTCAAAATCCTAAAATTGAGTTGATCAATATTTCTGCAGTCTATTGGCAAAGGATTCCATGCTTGACATGCTGTTACTGAAAATGTACGTCCACAGTCTTTCTATTGTATTTAGGGCACACTACATTAAAATTACTGTGGCTCGATATGATGAGGATTGGGATCCTTTGGACGACTTGCGCTTTAGAAAAATTTTTAACCTGGTAATAATAAAGGATATTTTTGGAAAGAAGTTATCAAAATTAGAAAAACTGCAAAGTTTGGTTGCGAAATGTTGTAAAATACAGAAAATATGGCCCTGCGAAATTGGCAAATTTGTATACATTTCTATTATTGCGGAAACTGGTAACTAATTTAGTTACCAATTCACGCACGTAATACAAAAGTATACAAATTTGCCAACTTTGAAGGGCTATATTTTCCGTATTTTACAACATTTCGCAACCAAACTTTGTAATATTACTAATTCCAAGACGCTCTTTCTACGTGTGGTGAAAGATTTCGCTGTTTTTACTTAGATTAAAATTTAGTCTAAAGCGTAAGTCGTCCATTGATGACCTCTAAAGTGCAAGTGTCCAATTAATATATAAAGCAGCATTTCATGGCCACCATAATCATTGAAAACACTGCATGCATGTTATAAACATTGTATATTATTCCACTTACCAATGGGTTTAAAGGAAATAGATCCATGCTCTCCCATTTGGGAAATCTTGGCATCAAACTGAGCAACTTCATCCTTAAAATATAAGGGTAAATATCAGAATTATAGTCATCTTTAACATGTAGAACTGAATGTAGTTGAATGCAGGATCTCATGGCCACAGTACGATTCCTACTAGAGTAGCCTAAAGTTGCATTTTTGGCAGAGCGCTGCTCCCAATCCTTTATATCAGCAATTGCTCATCAAATTGGTCATAATTGATTTAGTTGATGAAGTATGAATGATGGGCTTTTGGGCTGCATATTTAACATAGCTTATTCATTATTTGTTACATATTATGCACTAGTCAATAGAAATTAGAAAATAAAGGAATATTGAATACAAGGCTGCAAATTACTGCCGGACATCGGACAATGTCAGACTAAATTTGGCAAATGTCCGAGAAGTTTGATCGGACATTGGTCAGATCACAAAAAAATTGTCACATTATACATTCTTTTTGCTGCGAACAAAATCCGATTGCTAATTCACTGAATTTGCATTTTGCAATAAAATTTACGAGGCATTCTAGCATTTTACTTAACGTTGCGCCGGAATGGCTATATACATACTTGTCTCGTGACTTGTGTATATCTTGTAGCGTATGTATATCCGAACAAGTTGAGTGGTGTTGGTTTTTGTACGAACAATTTCAAAGTGATCGAACAAATGTCCTTTCAAGTCAAATATTGATTTGCAGCCCTGTTGGCAAGATTCAGGAGGAAAATTCAATGGGAAGATTCAGGTAAAAAATTTAATGGCAAGATTCAGGTAGAACATTCAATGGCAAGATTCAGGTGGAAAATTCAATGGGAAGATTCAGATGGAATATTCAATGGCAAGATTCAGGTGGAAAATTCAATGGCAAGATTCAGGTGGAAAAGTCAATGGCAAGATTCAGGTGGAAAATTGCATGGCAAGATTCAGGTTGGAAATTCAATGGCAAGATTCAGGTGGAAAATTGCATGCCAAGATTCAGGTTGGAAATTCAATGGCAAGATTCAGGTAGAAAATTCAATGGCAAGATTCAGGTGGAAAATTCAATGGCAAGATTCAGGTGGAAAATTCAATGCCAAGATTCAGGTGGAAAATTCAATGGCAAGATTCAGGTGGAAAATTGCATGGCAAAATTCAGGTTGGAAATTCAATGGCTAGATTCAGGTAGAAAATTCAATGGCAAGATTCAGGTGGAAAATTCAATGGCAAGATTCAGGTGGAAAATTCAATGGCAAGATTCAGGTGGAAAAGTCAATGGCAAGATTCATGTGGAAAATTGCATGGCAAGATTCAGGTTGGAAATTCAATGGCAAGATTCAGGTGGAAAATTGCATGGCAAGATTCAGGTTGGAAATTCAAAGGCAAGATTCAGGTAGAAAATTCAATGGCAAGATTCAGGTGGAAAATTCAATGGCAAGATTCAAGTGGAAAATTCAATGCCAAGATTCAGGTGGAAAATTCAATGGCAAGATTCAGGTGGAAACTTCAATGGCAAGATTCAGGTGGAAAATTGCATGGCAAAATTCAGGTTGGAAATTCAATGGCAAGATTCAGGTAGAAAATTCAATGGCAAGATTCAGGTGGAAAATTCAATGGCAAGATTCAGGTGGAAAAGTCAATGGCAAGATTCAGGTGGAAAATTGCATGGCAAGATTCAGGTTGGAAATTCAATGGCAAGATTCAGGTGAAAATTGCAATGGCAAGATTCAGGTGGAAAATTCAATGGCAAGATTCAGGTGGAAAATTCAATGGCAAGATTCAGGTGGAAATTCAGGTGGAAAATTCAATGCCAAGATTCAGATGCAAAATTCAATGCAAGATTCAGGTAGAAAACTCAATGGGAAGATTCAGGTGGAAAATTCAATGGCAATATTCAGGTGGAAAATTCAATGGCAAGATTCAGGTGGAAAATTCAATGCCAAGATTCAGGTGGAAAATTCAATAGCAAGATTCAGGTGTAAACTTCAATGGCAAGATTCAGGTGGAAAATTGCATGGCAAAATTCAGGTTGGAAATTCAATGGCAAGATTCAGGTAGAAAATTCAATGGCAAGATTCAGGTGGAAAATTCAATGCCAAGATTCAGGTGGAAAAGTCAATGGCAAGATTCAGGTGGAAAATTGCATGGCAAGATTCAGGTTGGAAATTCATTGGCAAGATTCAGGTGGAAAATTGCATGGCAAGATTCAGGTTGGAAATTCAATGGCAAGATTCAGGTAGAAAATTCAATGGCAAGATTCAGGTGAAAAATTCAATGGCAAGATTCAGGTGGAAAAGTCAATGGCAAGATTCAGGTGGAAAATTGCATGGCAAGATTCAGGTTGGAAATTCAATGGCAAGATTCAGGTAGAAAATTCAATGGCAAGATTCAGGTGGAAAATTCAATGGCAAGATTCAGGTGGAAAATTCAATGCCAAGATTCAGGTGGAAAATTCAATGGCAAGATTCAGGTGGAAACTTCAATGGCAAGATTCAGGTGGAAAATTGCATGGCAAAATTCAGGTTGGAAATTCAATGGCAAGATTCAGGTAGAAAATTCAATGGCAAGATTCAGGCGGAAAATTCGATGGCAAAATTCCGGTGGAAAATTCAATGGCAAGATTCAGGTAGAAAACTCAATGGGAAGATTTAGGTGGAAAATTCAATGGCAATATTCAGGTGGAAAATTCAATGGCAAGATTCAGGTGGAAAATTCAATGGCAAGATTCAGGTACAAAATTCAATGGCAAGATTCAGGTGGAAAATTCAATGGCAAGATTCGGGTGGAAAATTAAATGACAAGATTCAGGTAGAAAATTCAATGGGTAGATTCCGGTGGAAAATTCAATGGCAAGATTCAGGTGCAAAATTGCATGGCAAGATTCAGGTGGAAAATTCAATGGCAAGATTCAGGTGCAAAATTGTATGGCAAAATTCAGGTTGGAAATTCAATGGCAAGATACAGGTAGAAAATTCAATGGCAAGATTCTGGTAGAAAACTCAATGGGAAGATTCAGGTGGAAAATTCAATGGCAAGATTCAGGTGGAAAATTCAGTGGCAAGATTCAGGTGGAAAATTCAATGGCAAGATTCAAGTGGAAAATTCAATGGGAAGATTCAGGTGGAAAATTGCATGGATAGATTCAGGTAGAAAATTCAATGGGAAAATTCAGGTGGAAAATTGAATGGCAAGATTCAGGTGGAAAATTGCATAGCAAGTTTCAAGTGGAAAATTCAATGAGAAGATTCAGGTGGAAAATTGCATGGCAAGACTCAAGTGGAAAATTCAATTGGAAGATTCAGGTGGAAAATTGCATGGCAAGATTCAGGTGGAAAATTCAATGGCAAGATTCAGGTGCAAAATTGCATGGCAAGATTTAGGTGAAAAATTCAATGGCAAGATCCAGGTAGAAAATTCAATGGGAAGATTCAGGTGGAAAATTCAATGGCAAGATTCAGGTAGAGAATTCAATGGAAAGGTTCAGGTGGAAAATTCAATGGATAGATTCAGGTAGAAAATTCAATGGGAAAATTCAGGTGGAAAATTCAATGGCAAGATTCAGGTGGAAAATTGCATGGCAAGATTCAAGTGGAAAATTCAATGGGAAGATTCAGGTGGAAAATTGCATGGCAATATTCAAGTGGAAAATTCAATGGGAAGATTCAGGTGGAAAATTGCATGGCAAGATTCAGGTGGAAAATTCAATGGCAAGATTCAGGTGGAAAATTGTATGGCAAGATTCAAGTGGAAAATTCAATGGGAAGATTCAGGTAGAAAATTCAATGGCAAGATTCAGGTGGAAAATTCAAATGGTATGATTCAGGTGGAAAGTTCAATGGGATGATTCAGGTAGAAAATTCAATGGCAGGATTCGGGTTGTAAATTCAATGGCAAGATTCAGGTGGAAAATTGCATGGCAAGATTCAGGTGTAAAATTCAACGGGAAGATTCAGGTAGAAAATTCAATGGCATGATTCAGGTGGAAAATTCAATGGTATGATTCAGGTGGAAAATTCAATGGGATGATTCAGGTAGAAAACTCAATGGGAAGATTCAGGTAGAAAATTCAATGGCAAGATTCAGGTGGAAAATTCAATGGCAAGATTCAGGTGGAAAATTCAATGGGAAGATTCAGGTGGAAAATTCAAATGGTATGATTCAGGTGGAAAGTTCAATGGGATGATTCAGGTAGAAATTTCAATGGCAGGATTCGGGTGGAAAATTCAATGGCAAGATTCAGGTGGAAAATTGCATGGCAAGATTCAGGTGTAAAATTCAACTGGAAGATTCAGGTAGAAAATTCAATGGCATGATTCAGGTGGAAAATTCAATGGTATGATTCAGGTGGAAAATTCAATGGGATGATTCAGGTAGAAAACTCAATGGGAAGATTCAGGTAGAAAATTCAATGGCAAGATTCAGGTGGAAAATTCAATGGCAAGATTCAGGTGGAAAATTCAATGGGAAGATTCAGGTGGAAAATTCAAATGGTATGATTCAGGTGGAAAGTTCAATGGGATGATTCAGGTAGAAATTTCAATGGCAGGATTCGGGTGGAAAATTCAATGGCAAGATTCAGGTGGAAAATTGCATGGCAAGATTCAGGTGTAAAATTCAACTGGAAGATTCAGGTAGAAAATTCAATGGCATGATTCAGGTGGAAAATTCAATGGTATGATTCAGGTGGAAAATTCAATGGGATGATTCAGGTAGAAAACTCAATGGGAAGATTCAGGTAGAAAATTCAATGGCAAGATTCAGGTGGAAAATTCAATGGCAAGATTCAGGTGGAAAATTCAATGGGAAGATTCAGGTGGAAAATTCAAATGGTATGATTCAGGTGGAAAGTTCAATGGGATGATTCAGGTAGAAATTTCAATGGCAGGATTCGGGTGGAAAATTCAATGGCAAGATTCAGGTGGAAAATTGCATGGCAAGATTCAGGTGTAAAATTCAACTGGAAGATTCAGGTAGAAAATTCAATGGCATGATTCAGGTGGAAAATTCAATGGTATGATTCAGGTGGAAAATTCAATGGGATGATTCAAGTAGAAAACTCAATGGGAAGATTCAGGTAGAAAATGCAATGGCAAGATTCAGGTGGAAAATTCAATGGGATGATTCAGGTGGAAAATTCATTGGGAAGATTCAGGTGGAAAATTCAATGGCAAGATTCAGGTGGAAAATTCAATGGCAAGATTCAGGTGGAAAATTCAATGGGAAGATTCAGGTGGAAAATTCAATAGGATGATTCAGCTAGAAAATTCAATCGCAAGATTCAGGTGGAAAATTCAATGGCAAGATTCAGGTGGAAAATTGCATGGTAAGATTTAGGTGAAAAATTCAATGGCAAGATCCAGGTAGAAAATTCAATGGGAAGATTCAAGTGGAAAATTCAATGGCAAGATTCAGGTAGAAAATTCAATGGATAGATTCAGGTAGAAAATTCAATGGGAAAATTCAGGTGGAAAATTCAATGGCAAGATTCAGGTGGAAAATTGCATAGCAAGATTCAAGTGGAAAATTCAATGGGAAGATTAAGGTGGAAAATTGCATGGCAGGACTCAAGTGGAAAATTCAATGGGAAGATTCAGGTGGAAAATTGCATGGCAAGTTTCAGGTGGAAAATTCAATGGCAAGATTCAGGTGGAAAATTGAATGGCAAGATTTAGGTGAAAAATTCAGTGGCAAGATCCAGGTAGAAAATTCAATGGGAAGATTCAGGTGGAAAATTCAATGGCAAGATTCAGGTAGAAAATTCAATGGCAAGATTCAAGTGGAAAATTCAATGGGAAGATTCAGGTGGAAAATTGCATGGCAAGATTCAAGTGGAAAATTCAATGGGAAGATTCAGGTGGAAAATTGTATGGCAAGATTCAGGTGGAAAATTCAATGGCAAGATTCAGGTGGAAAATTGTATGGCAAGATTCAAGTGGAAAATTCAATGGGAAGATTCAGGTAGAAAATTCAATTGCAAGATTCAGGTGGAAAATTCAAATGGTATGATTCAGGTGGAAAGTTCATTGGGATGATTCAGGTAGAAAATTCAATGGCAGGATTCGGGTTGAAAATTCAATGGCAAGATTCAGGTGGAAAATTGCATGGCAAAATTCAGGTGGAAAATTCAACGGGAAGATTCAGGTAGAAAATTCAATGGCATGATTCAGGTGGAAAATTCAATGGGATGATTCAGGTAGAAAATTTAATGGCAGGATTCGGGTTGAAAATTCAATGGCAAGACTCAGGTACCAAATTCAATGGGAAGATTAAGGTGGAAAATTCAATGGCAAGATTCAGGTGGAAAATTGCATGGCAAAATTCAGGTTTGAAATTCAATGGCAAGATTCAGGTAGAAAATTCAATGGCAAGATTCAGGTGGATAATTCAATGGCAAGATTCCGGTGGAAAATTCAATGGCAAGATTCAGGTAGAAAACTCAATGGGAAGATTCAGGTGGAAAATTCAATGGCAAGATTCAGGTGGAAAATTCAGTGGCAAGATTCAGGTGGAAAATTCAATGGCAAGATTCAGGTACAAAATTTAATGGCAAGATTCAGGTGGAAAATTCAATGGCAAAATTCAGGTGGAAAATTCAATGGCAAGATTCAGCTAGAAAATTCAATGGGTAGATTCAGGTGGAAAATTCAATGGTATGATTCAGGTGGAAAATTCAATAGGATGATTCAGCTAGAAAATTCAATCGCAAGATTCAGGTGGAAAATTCAATGGCAAGATTCGGGTAGAAAATTCAATGTGAAGATCCAGGTGGAAAATTCAATGGCAAGATTCAGGTAGAATATTCAATGGCAAGATTCAGGTGGAAAATTGCATGGTAAGATTTAGGTGAAAAATTCAATGGCAAGATCCAGGTAGAAAATTCAATGGGAATATTCAGGTGGAAAATTCAATGGCAAGATTCAGGTAGAAAATCCAATGGCAAGGTTCAGGTGGAAAATTCAATGGCTAGATTCAGGTAGAAAATACAATGGGAAGATTCAGGTGGAAAATTCAATGACAAGATTCAGGTGGAAAATTCAATGGCAAGATTCAGGTGGAAAATTGCATGACAAGATTCAAGTGGAAAATTCAATGGGAAGATTCAGGTAGAAAATTCAATGGCAAGATTCAGCTGGAAAATTCAAATGGTATGATTCAGGTGGAAAGTTCAATGGGATGATTCAGGTAAAAATTCAATGGCAGGACTCGGGTTGAAAATTCAATGGCAAGACTCAGGAACCAAATTCGATGGGAAGATTCAGGTGGAAAATTCAATGGCAAGAATCAGGTGGAAAATTGCATGGCAAGATTCAGGTGGACAATTCAATGGGAAGATTCAGGTAGAAAATTCAATGGCAAGATTCAGGTGGAAAATTCAATGGTGTGATTCAGGTGGATAATTCAATGGGATGATTCAGGTAGAAAATTCGATGGCAGGATTCGGGTTGAAAATTCAATGGCAAGACTCAGGTACAAAATTCAATGGGAAGATTCAGGTGGAAAATTTAATGGGAAGATTCAGGTGGAAAATTCAATGGCAAGATTTAGGTAGAAAATTTAATGGGAAGATTTAGGTGGAAAATTCAATGGCAAGATTCAGGTGGAAAATTGCATGGGAAGATTCAGGTGGAAAATTCAATGGCAAGATTCAGGTGGAAAATTGCATGGCAAAATTCAGGTTGGAAATTCAATGGCAAGATTCAGGTAGAAAATTCAATGGCAAGATTCAGGTGGATAATTCAATGGCAAGATTCCGGTGGAATATTCAATGGCAAGATTCAGGTAGAAAACTCAATGGGAAGATTCAGGTGGAAAATTCAATGGCAAGATTCCGGTGGAATATTCAATGGCAAGATTCAGGTAGAAAACTCAATGGGAAGATTCAGGTGGAAAATTCAATGGCAAGATTCAGGTGGAAAATTCAATGGCAAGATTCAGGTGGAAAATTCAATGGCAAGATACAGGTACAAAATTCAATGGCAAGATTCAGGTGGAAAATTCAATTGCAAGATTCAGGTGGAAAATTCAATGGCAAGATTCAGGTGGAACATTCAATGCGAAGATTCAGGTGGAAAATTCAATAGTAAGATTCAGGTGGAAAATTCAACGTCAAGATTCAGGTGAAAAATTCAATTTGAAGATTCAGGTGGAAAATTCAATAACAAGATTCAGGTGGAAAATTCAGTGGCAAGACTCTGATGGAAAATTCAATGGGAAGATTCAGGTGGAAAATTCAATGGGAAGATTCAGATGGTTGTCCAATACTGTCGAACATATACGGATCGTAAAGATGGTAAAACATTGAACATAATCCGTACGGTCCGTACGAACTGTGAAATGGCTTTAAGGACCGTACGATCCGTACGGTTCGTGAAGATGATTTACGGATCGTGAACCTACTTTGTCGATAGCGATGTTGTGTTGAAGTGAGGGCATAAAAGTTTGTCGATCCGTACGAATGGTACGGTCCGTACGAACTGTGAAATGGCTTTACGGACCGTACGAACCGTACCCGTTCGTGAAAATGAATTACGGAT